GAACAAACCCAGAGCTTGGGTTCGATCGAAACCCAGGCAAGGCTCTGGGTTCGATCGAAACCCAGGCAAGGCTCTAGGTTCGTTCGAAACCCAGAGCCTGGGTTCGACTTTGGGTTTCGAACAAACCCAGGAGAAAAAATAAAAAAAAAAAATCTCTTTTTTTTTTTTGTGGATTTGATTGGTTGGTTGATGATGATGAAATGAACCCAGACAAGGCTCTGGGTTCGTTCGAAACCCAGAGCCTGGGTTCAGCTTTGGGTTTCGAACGAACCCAAGAGAAAAAATTTAAAAAAATCTCTTTTTTTTTCTGTGGATTTGATTGGTTAGTTGATGATGATGAAAAAGGCAAGGCTTGCTGAGGAACTGGAGAGCACTGTTGTTCTAGGTTCGAATGGGTTTAGGGAACAAAGTGGGAGAAGGGTTCAAGTTTTGCAAGATGTGGGACTCACTTTTTTTTCTTGTTTGGTTTTGGGGCAGAATGAGTCATACTGCCATGTCATCTTTTTTTCCAGGTGTGCGTTTGAGGTGTCACTTTATTGTTGACATGTCATCGTGCTTTTGTTAATCAAGGACACGTCACTAGATTTTTAATGGATTTTTAACAGAGGGACTAAATCGGGGTCAAAATGATAAATAGTAATGATCAAATCAGGGATTTTTTGAGTTGAGGGACTAAGTCGAGGGTCCGTACGATAGTTGAGTGACCAAAATGGGGGGTTTAACCTTTCTAATTTGACTTGGCTGATCACAAGAAGAAAGAAAAACCGCATATGTACAGTACTTTCTTACTATTCCAAAAATTTTCAAATTATTACGACTTTTTTTTTTTTTTTTAAGTAGGGAATTTCGAGAAAGAGCATCGGAGTACAGAATCTTAAGTTTTGGGGGGTCGGAACACGTGCCGCACGCGTATGATCAGTAGACCAATAAGTCGTGGACAATTATTACGACTTTCTTCTATCTCTATTTTATGTGAAGATTTTTCATTTCTCTCTTCTTCTTTTTGTGCCACATTCAAGCAAGAAAAGAGTTATTCTTTTTAGCAGTTGATTCAAAGCCGCAAAAATCAATTGCTACAAAAGCCAGTTAACGGGGGTATGAGTTTCTAACTTTCTATTACCAAATTAAAGTGTTTAGTTGTCCTCCGCCATGTATTCTTTCTTTGAATTTTTTTTTTTTTTTTCTGTTTTTCTATATACAGGTAATAATGGCAGATGAAATAAGGATCACGGTTTGCACTCGCATAGAGGGGAAGCTGCAAGCACTTTCTTCAACATTTTCGAAGCATACCATTTTTAGAGTGCCTCGCCTACTATATGAGGTGAATGAAAAAGCCTATGAACCAGAAATCATCTCAATTGGTCCTTATCATCGTGGCAAAAGGCACTTGAAGATGATGGAAGTGCGCAAGGTTGAGTTCTTAGGAATGCTTCTTGGCCGAACAAATGGGCATACTGCCGAACCATATGTAGCAGCACTGAGAGGTATGGTCGAAAAAGCCCATAACTGTTATTCAGAACCTTCAAGTATTAGCACAGAAGACTTCCTAGAAATGTTGGTGCTTGATGGATGCTTTATTGTTGAGTTTATTCACCAATTACTTGGTGGTAACATGGATGGGTACATCTTTAGATTGACGGGTAATGTCGACAGGATTTTGCATGATTTGATTCTAGTTGAGAACCAACTTCCTTTCTTTGTGCTTTGGGAGTTGTTTGGTCTAATGAGGGGAAATGAGAGAAACTTTTATGTTTGGCATCTTCTGGCACTCTTCCGTGACAGGATGCCGGGACTAAGAGTTGATGTTGTCTATGACAATACTTCAATTGAAAATGTCAAGCATTTACTAGACTTGGTACATGGGAATTGGCTTCCTTCAAGAGAAGTAATGGAGGATTACTCGCGAGCACCAATAGATGGCAATTGGTCATTTATACGTTCTGCTACAGAGCTTAAAGAGGCTGGAATTCGGTTCAAGAAGGGTGAAGGAAATTCCTTGTTTGACATAATGTTTAGAAATGGGGTACTCGAGATTCCTATGATAAGAATTGAAGATTCCACAGAGAGGTTGTATCGCAATGTCATGGTCTGCGAACAATTTGAGAAAGAAAATCCAAGATACTTAACTGAATTTGCCAAGTTTATGGGTTGGCTGATTAATTCAGGGAAAGATGTGGAGTTACTTTGTCACTGTGGAATAATTGAAAATTGGTTAGGCAGTGATGAGGCTGTCGCGGCCATGTTTAATAGGCTCACAGATAATGTCGGGATCTCCATCGAATTCTATGCCCCGATATCTAATGATGTCAATGAGTATTGCAATAAACCTCTTCACAAAGTGATGGCAAACTTAAGGTACAAATATTTCAACACTGCATGGGCGTTCATCTCCGTTCTTGGTGGAGCTTCCTTGCTTCTACTTGGCCTGCTTCAAACTGTTTTTACCATTTTTCCTAGACATTAATTTTTGATGTGGAGTTAGTGATGGCAAATTTTGTCATTTGTTTAAAAATTAAGATCAACTTTCACACAACTTTTATATGTATTACTTACACAAAATCTTGATCATTCCAACTTTTAATTATAAATTGTTGGGATTTTGTATAAATAATATATGTAAAAATTGTGTGTGAGTTAATTCTTACTCTTTATTTAATTTGTATTGTATTTTATCTAAAACGTCTAGCAAAGTTGTCAAAATTGAGAGTTAAGTAAAATTGTTTTGGTTAAGTAAAAATTGAAATCCTAAAATTGAATATATAAAATCAAGAATTTGCTAAATTAATTAAAATTGTCTATTATTAAAATTTAACCTCTTACATTCAAATTTGAAATTTATCCAAGAATGTTAACTACTAATTAATTATTTCAAATTTTTATTAAACATTTTTTCATTTCATAATTATTTTTTTCATTTTTATTAAAAATAT